ATTTTTATGTTTGTTAAAAAATTTTTTTACATTTACATTTCAGACTTTTATCTTGTTATGGAATTGTCTTAACAAAGTCAAGATTCATTTAAGTATCCGGGTTGATGTCTTTTAAATGACCACTTTGTAAGCAACTATTTCAGCACACTTAATTCCCTATGATCTGTGACTACAAGCATGTAGGGCTGTGTATTTGAACTTTACATGTGAAAAAACATAACAGTAGTAAAAGCGTATAAGGTTATTACATGGAAAATTAGCACAAAGTGCTGTTGCCTAACACAGGGTTTCCTCACAATTGTGTATGTCTAAAGGAAGGATGATGACAGCAGCTGCAGCCAAAGGCAGCCTGAGCAACAGTCACAGTGGCCTACCTTCTCCTTTGCCCTGAGCTAGACTGAATAACTTGTGCCTGGTGACCATGGGTAAATGCCAGGCAACCCCATAAATGCATGGCAATGCCCTGGGTGAGAAAGAAAAACAACTCACAAGTTTGTGGCTCAAGGTTAGATAGGAAGGAAATTCCTCCTATCCACATCATTGTTCTTAATGGTGACCCTGTAGGGACAGCTGACACAAATGAAGGAAACTTTTCATGCCATGCTAGGACTTGTTAAAAATTTTCTATGGTTCCATTAACAACTTACTCCAGAGACCACCTGGGGCCTGCTTACAATGGGGAATGCTGGATCTTCAGAGGGCCTGGCCACCCTCCAAAGAAAGGTTTCATTACATGTGTGGTGTAATGACCTCTTAGAGTCTTCGAGACTTTTAGAATTAAAAAACGTATCTGGGAAAACTGCCATCTACACAACATGAAAAGCTGATATAATCTTGTTTGACTTAATGAGTGTTTTAATGTGTTAGTTCACTTGTACATAGTGGTTTTTATAACTAAAATGGGTCCTGAACTTGTAAGAGATTTAACGTTTTGGTCATCAATACTATAGACTTAATCTACTAAACTGGAGACTGTAGGTTTTCCTTTAGAAGTAGAAGTTTAATTAATATATAATAGGCTTCTATTTAGTTCTTTTGTATAATGAGGCCACTTTGTTACTGACTTTATTTCGATATAAAGATGTCTCTTGTACTGTGTAAGCCTTGTAAGGATTGGTAGGCATTGGGTGTTTCTAAGTCTGTACCTAAACACTTAATGTTGGAAACATAAGTGAAACCATTTTGTGTGACTTGAAATCATGTAATGCCTGTAGATAGGAGTTTGCCACTAGGCCCCAGAGGCAAGATCTGATGTGTTCATGGATGGCCAGAGGATAGTTCAGATATGAGCCAAGGTAGGCTTTGATATGCCATAAATAACTAATCCTAAGGTGGCATTGACAGGTCCATGAACCAGCCCCAAGCTATGGGTCCTGATAGCACAAAGCTACTGCCCAGTAAGATGCACAGTAATTGGAATTTTGTAAATGGCCTCTTGGATTGCATTGCTCTGTCTCAGACAGAGCCTACCTGTTGATACCCTTTGGCAAAAAAGTTCTGTGTGTTTTAATGGTCCTTCTGTGTCCCTGACTTCAGTGACCTTTGAACTTCCAGCACCATTGCTGTTCTCACATGTGCCCACCTGTCAGTGCTAGCTGCTGGTTGGATACTCTCAAGGACCTTCTGGACTTCTACCAATGTCATCCTCCTGGTCTGTCATAGCTGAAGGACTTCATGGCAGACATGGGTTGAGCCTACAAGCTGCTGGGACATCCTCACTGAGGCATACCCCAATGGAACCTGCAGCAGCACTTTCTGCCCAACCCTACTTGCTTGATGGGGGTGTCTGTTTAATTTTTATATTAGTGTAATAGTATAAGAAATGTTTGTGTGAATAAACTGAATACATTTAAAAGTCAAATCATGGGTGGACATCCTAATTGCTGAGAGTATGGATTAATGAATTATGCTAGCCCACCCCTGTCACCTGGCAGAACCCTGGTCAGGGTTCCATGGTTTAGTAGTCTGAACCAGGGTGCGAAGGTGCAAAGGACCCCTTTAAAAGAAAGATCCCCCCCCTCCACTTATGCTCTCTTTCCCTCTCTTTCCTACTGTTCCCCTGGGGCAGACAGAACTTTCCCTGTCTCCCTCTTCTCTTCGGTCCTCTCTCTGCTTCTTTGTCTCTTTACCTCTTTCCTCTCCTTCTCCCCTTTCTCTTTCTAATAAACTTCTCACTTAAACTCTGTCTACCTGTTGTGTTTGTTCACTGCCCCCTTGGCCTCAGACATCCTTGCCGGCTAAGGTTTCCCTTAAGCTTTATCCTAACAGTGACCTCCTCCCAGCACACAGACCATGCTCTCTACATTTCATTCTTTAATTAGTCTTTTTTGGGGGGGGGGTTGTAGAATTGATTGATTTGTATTTCATGTACAATCCTGTTTGATATGTCTGTATAAAGGTGTCAGATCCCCTGAAACTGGTGTTACAGACAGTTAGGAGCTACCATGTGGGTGCTGGAATTGAACCCTGGCCCTCAGAAAGAGCAGCCAGTGCTCTTAACAACTGAACCATCTCTCCAGCCCTCTAGTCTTATTCTTGTTGGTTATGATTTTGTAAAACCTTATAGCTATTAGAATTCCACTGAAGTTTTATGAAGAGAAAAACCAAACAACATTTTTTAGGGTACTAAGACATTACCCACAGAACAAAGAGAAAGGACCCCAATTATTGTAGTGGCATCTTATTCTACCAACAGACTTGAGGTAATGGCATTAGGGTATGACTTTGGTGTGTATGTGTGACCCCTTATAAGGAAGAGGATGGGCTTACTCGGGCTCTCTCTTGGGTTGTGGTCTGAGCATCCTGCATCGCAAAAGATGCCTCTGCAAGCTACCCCTAATCTAAGAGACACTCCTTTTATACCTCTTAGATATTGCTTAAATTGGGCCTAAAGGGTTTACTGACACTAACCCCTTGTTATCTGTCATTCCTTGCATCCCAAGTAGAGTCAAATCAGATCAACCAGAACAAATCCCATCCTGATTACTTGAGGGTCCAAAGGAAAACTCCATTTCCCCAAATTCCAAAAAGCAGAAGGGACAAATGGCTATCTGTGGAACCTATTGGCATACATTGGCCTCCAGACTGTCTTGGTATCACAAATACATGTTATACATTTCAAAGCATCCTAGCTCCTCCCCTTCCCAAACTTCCCCACTCACAGGCCAACCCTCCACCCCCTCCAGCACAGCACTCCTTCTCTTTCTAATTCTGCTGTACTTTGAAGTGCTCTTTCCCTTTGTTTTCCCCTGAGTCTCTCCCTCTCCCTCCTCTTCCCTCTGTCTTCTCCTTCCCTTCTGTCTGCTTTCCTGTGCTCTCCCTCCCTGTGTATCGCTCTCTCGGTTCTACTCTATTTCTGTCATGGCCAGGTGAAATCTGCAGGCCATATTCAGTCTACGTCTTTCCCTGCCCTGGACTCCTCCAGATGCCTCTGGCTCTTCTCTCTTTCATATCTACAATGAAAGCCCTCCCCTCTTAACTGTACCATGGAGTAGTCAGGTTGTCAGTTTATACTGTTACCAGGGACAGTAGAAAACAAACCACCAGATGCTTAAGCTTGTCTTGGGAGAACACTGTGCAGAGAGACTCAGGGCGGAGGGTGGGGGGTGGGGGGGGGACTGTCAGGATTGAAATGGAGGAGTCACACTGGGCAGAGAAGTGGCTGCTTGGAACCCCACAGTTTGGGAGGCTGAAGCAGGAGGAGCAGAGGTTTGAGGCCAACCCAGGTTTCATAGCCAGACCCTTTTTCAAAGGGAGGGAACTGCTTGTCCCAGTCTTCTGAAAGAAACAAAGCCCAGGAGTTATGAAGAAAGGCTTCTCAGCATATCAACCAGACACTACCAGGGTGCATTCTGACCTCCAGTCCTGCTTGTATTGTCCTGGTGATTTTGCTTTCAGTCACAGGCTTATTTCACCTCAAGACTTAGGTTTAGTCAAAGCAGAGAGTAGGGAATTGTGACTGACCTGTCTGCCAGGAACAGACATTCCAAGGAGACACTTAGTTTGGCCAACAGACTGTTGAAAGAAAGGACTCTAAGAGATTAGACACCCACCCCCCCCACCCCCCCCCCCCACCCCCCCCCACCCCCAGCATTCTCCTGCAGGGAGAGGAAGTGGCTGAAACCCTGGGGACATCCAGAACAGGAATTTGTCTCCTGGAGAAAGATTTACAGCTTGTGCAATGAGCTTGACCTCCCACCAGACTGACTTGCAAGAGAGACTCAAAGGAGCTGGACTTGGGTGGGCAGGGGAATGCACTTTGGTTATGTGACTCCCTTGTTTTCTGTTTGCAACCTACCCTCAAGTCCCGTAAATAGACTCAGGAGAGTCACTGGATTTCTTTGTCTTTCCGGGGCCATACTGAACAAATCTTCTTCTTCTGCCTTTTCACTATTAATTTGGCTTCCTTAACTGGCTCACTGAAGAAAGTAGGCTGAGTGGGGCTTTGGGATCACAACTGTACCCCTTGAGTCTTGTAACAATGTGCTCAGGCAGCTGGCAGCAGCTTGGGCAGGCCTGCCTCTGTTGCTCACACCTGCTGCACCCAAGTTCCTAGCCATCAGAGCCTTTGAGCTCCAAATTCCTAACATGCATCCAAGTGCCCAGCACATGGGATTCTCAGGTACAAATTCTCTCCACCATGAAAAGAAGCATGCTTTCTTCCAGTGTGAGAGAAAAGCGGGCTCAGTGATGCATCCCAGGATCCTTGGCAGCCCAGAAGTGGATCCTGGTACTCCGCTTTTGACGAAAGCCCACTTCACTCTTCTGGGACCTGGGATTGCAGACTTCAAGCACTAAGTTAGGGTCCAACTCAGCCCTGACTTAACAAACAACAGAAGGTTGCCTCTGAAGCAGTCAGAAGCCAGCCCCAGAAATGCCTGCAGCCAGGGAAGCCTCCCAGCCCCCACCTCAGGCAAATTGCCTCTGTGCTCCAGCCCACAATTTCTCCAGAGCTCCTGATTGGTCCTCAGAGCCACAGAGCTGAGAGAGAGCCTGTATATATTCCTCAGAGGGAAAGGCTGCCCCAGACAGTGCTGACGTTTTCAGATATCCATTGAGCTGTTGAAAAGTTCGTGCTCAAGCCTGAGGACCTAAGCCGTTCGCCAAAATGTGTAAGGGACTGGCAGCGCTGCCGCAGTCATGCCTGGAAAGGTGAGAGCCGAACTTCTGCAGTGTAAGACATAAAGGTGTGGTGAGCCTTTACTCGAGGGAGGATGCCCGGAGCACCGTGGGGTGAGGTCACAGGGATGAAACAGCTATTTGGTGTTAGACTTGGTGTTGTCTCATCTGTAGCAGTACAGAGATCTGGAAAGATCTGAGCTGGAGATCCAACAGGAGATAATTCATGTGTCATTTCCTCCCAGAAGATGCCTGTTTTATTGGCGTGTGTGTTTAAAAGGTAGCTTCCAACACTGAAAAGCATAAAATCATCTGGATTTGAACTCTGGCTCCCCTACTTACTACTTTGTGTAGTTTCTTTAACTTCTCACTTTCTGTATCTGTAAAGTGGGGGTAGGAAGCACATCTACCTTACAGGCTGGTTTTGGAGATTGTGTAAGTGCTTAATGTGTGTGAAGTGCTCAGAAGAATGTCTGACATTATACAACTGTGGAAAGAATGACCTTTATTCACATCTAGAGATCGGGCTGCAGGTTCTGCATGCAGGTTTGCAGTGGGGCAGCGGAGCTTCACATTCTTCCCAGTACCCTAACCCAGTAGAAGTAGCTGGATTGTTGGACAAAAGAAAGCCCCTGGGATACAAGGTTTGTTAATTATCTAGCGTTCTCAAACACACCGTTGTCCCCAGACTGTGCTATAGTCTGCAAAGAATTCTACATCTAAAATAAACATCTTACTGGAAACATCTTAACCCAACAGCCCACATGATCTGGGTGGATAGAAGGGTTCTGCTCTCTTAGGGAATGGGTCTGGTTAGATTTACATTGATCTCCAGTTGTCAAAGGAAGTAAAAGTGACTGTTGTACAGCCTGCGTCTGTCCCTAAGGGCAGTGGTGATATTTTTCTGAGATGGTTATATCATATCGTTTAGAGGGCCATCAAGGACTTTTGCCTTTTTAAAACTTTCCATTTCCTTTTATGATTTCCATCACAGTAATAAATTTGAAGTGATTAAAAAAAAAAAGATACGACAATACAGCATATTCCCTGCAGTCAAATGCACAAAGATTTTGAACTGATAACCACAGCAGAAACTGTGAGCTGGCTAGTAACTCAGCAGTTCATTACTCATTGGACCAGGGGGAGGAAGGTGGAACCCAGGGCTGGGAACAATTGCTTGTTTTGATCCTGCTCACCTCCTCTATAGAAAGCTCCAGTAAAAGGCTGCATGCAGCTGAGAAGCAACCCAACTTCTTTGAAAAGCAGATGATGTATCTTGCTCTTCCACTGTGAGAATCACACATTGACTGTGCACTGCATGGATGGATGCCTTGAGCCCACCTGGTATTTACAGTTGAGCGATCTTACTTCATTACCCTGGTGAACAATTGATGCCACTACTGTGACAGTCTGCAGGAGTTTGGGCGTTTTGACATGGTTATTCATCTTGTCCTATGTTTTTATGTAAATGACACACCAATGTTTACAGAGATACAATGATGGGATTCTTGCAGTTATTTTTATTATTGCCCTGTATTAGATTCATGATCAACATTAGAATTTATTTATGTTTACATTTATAATTTATTAACTTTATTTCTAGTTGGAGATTAGTGTTAGTCTTGCTGGAAATGTATACATTTGGAACCCACTATGGTGGATAGGCTAGTGGCGTAACTGAGCATTTTGCAGAATTCATAATGTTAAGAATATAGTAAGCTAACAGTGTTGGGAGAGGTCATTGACAAATTGTGGATTCTTCCTGATGAAACAATTTCAGGTATTTCAAGCCTGTACACATCCCTTAGAAATCTAGACGACAAGCCACACCCTGCTCACAGGACAGTGGCCCCATGTAGGAAGGTAAATGAGGATGCATATTACTGGGTGCTGTGGTTCAGTGGAGAGGGATAGATACAGAGTGCTAGAAGCACAAAGTGGGGACTGGTTGGGCTTCAGAACTTTTGATTGTCAGAGAGGACTTCGCTGGGAGTTAAGAAAATGATGCTTAAACTAATCTTATAGGAGAGAAGAGTCTGGCAGGTCTATGTAGGAGAAAGGGATGTGAAGAATGCCTTCAAGGCCAAGGAGACAGGCTGCATGTACAGACATGAATGTAAAAGGGGACAGGAAGTTTGGCCAATGTTAATGCAATCTGTACCAAGTTTCAGGCAAGTAGGGAAGGAGGGAGACCTCCAAATTTTCAACCATATTTGGCACAATCTCCTACATAGCACACCTCACTCACTATTGCATAATTTGGATTTGGTTTATCCACCAAGGATGAATATGTTGGAGACTGTTTGACAGTGCCATAGGATATTTAAGAGGTATGGTTGAAACACCTGAGAAGATCAATTTATAAAGACAAAAGGTTTTCTATGGATCCTGGTTTTGGAGGTTCCAATCTATAATCAACTAGCTACACTGCTTTTGGACCTGTTACAAGATAGAGTGTGTGGCAGAGCAAAACTGATCACCTCATTCCCTTGTAACAAAGAGGCAGATGGAAGGGTGGAAGTCTTATACCACACTATGAGGACATACCACCAGTGGCTCTCTAGGTCCTGCCTCTTAGAGATTCCACCACCCGCCATGAGCACCTCCTGCAGACCAAACCTTTCACATGGATCTTTGGATCTTTGTGGAGACATTCAAGTTACAAACCATAATGGGGCTTAGTGGATGTTTCTTGTGGGACCCCTCTACTCACCGCATGGTTCCTTCCTCTTATATTATACCATCTGTAATGTGGTTCTCACCAGGTCTAAGTTGATACACAAGTACCATGCTACAAAGCCTGCAGATCCTGCAGAATTGGAAGCCTCAGCTATTTTGCTATAGTATCAAAGAACAGATTAATAACACCTGGGCTCACACAAACTCCTGACTCTGAGAACTGAAGGTATTTGTTTAGCGCAAGGGTCTTTTTCTTTCTTTGCCTATAACAGTTTTAAAAAGACAGCCAGCATTTGGTACATAGTAAACTCTTGATAAATCTTTTCCTGAAAAAGTTCTTCAATAATTGATAATAGCTGGAGATAGGTCTGCCCATTGTCAGCCTGTCACTTTTCTCTGCTGTCCTTGAGGATGGAGAAGAACAAACATTAGTAGGGACATGTTAAATCACAAAGGAGAAAAGACTGTGCTTCTAAATACTGAGGTAATGAGGGTTTCCTGCAGGGGTGTGAGGAGGAGCTGGAAAGAAGAAGGTGAAAAGAACCCAGTATTGGATTGGTAAGCAGGGGAGGGCAGGTTGTTTCCAAGGATGGCAAGCTTTTGGCTCTTGGCCATTAAGGAACTTCACAGCTTGGGAGGCATCTCTGCCACAGCTCCTTTAGTAGCTTGCATTCACTATATTAGCAAAGCACTTCTTCCCATTCTTTCTCCTTTAGTCTGAGTTATGGTGAATCAGGGTCTCTCAGATCCCAGAAGCTCAGCTGGGAAGGGTTCTTAGAAGGTTGTCTAATCCTTTTGTCCTTTTCTAGTAAGAACTCAGATTACAGTGGATAGAATGATAACAAAATAAGTCTGTTTCTTGGGCCAGTGTTGATGGCTTGTCTTGCTGGCCTGAGCAAAAGGAGGCAAAACTTTAATTAACTTAGGCAGGATCAAGCATTAGCAACAGGAAGCAGGATGTGAATGGACACCAGCCAATAACGGGTTCCTGTTTCTCTTTTTTCCTTTAAAGTTTGAATCAGTTCTCAGATAATGTGGGATCTGGACCATATTTCAAAGACAGAGTCCAGTTGCAGGGGGATAAAGATAGCAATAGCCTGACTCTTTGACTGTCCCAGAAAGTGTCTGGGGAGTCACTGGAGCAGCACAAAGGTGAAGGCAGATGCAGTGCAGGCAGGAAGGGTGGCTTTGCAGTCTGTCCCTGCCTCTGCATTAGCCCTGGAATATAACAGGGACATGGAAGGACTGGTGACCACAGTGATCCTCCTGATTCCTTCCTGTGGGAACTGGGAAAGCCCTGGCTTTCTTTGAGCCTCATTCCTCATCTGAAAGTTTCTATCTCTTTGGAAAGAAGTGGCACAAGAAAGAAACAAAACAAAATCCACAAGGTGACAGGCTCAGAGATAGACTCTACTGAGTAATCCCCCCACCCCCTTTGTATTAGAGGTAGCCTGGAAAACACTATTTAGTCAGTGTTGTGTCAAAACCTTTGACAAACATTTATTTCATTCATAATTGTTCACTCTCCCAAAGTATATTTCATGTTTCTCCTTTAAAAATAACACACACAAAGTATGTACCCAGTATAAAACATTAGAAGTTACAATTCTTATTCAGAAATCTCTTCTGGAACATCAGTGGGTCTATGAACCTAAAGGTTGGAAGCGTGTGTCATCAACACAGCTACTCTGCATGCATCTTTGGACTCTTCACCTGGCTGCACAGCTCCTAGAACATTCACAGGGTGCTTCCTGGCAAGGCATTCTGTGGCTGCTATACCCAAGTAAGACAGCCTAACTAGGCACTTTTCCTTTAAAAAGGAAATGCTTCAGGGTTTAAAGGATTGTGCCAAACAGCTTTGGAATCTGCCAGACAGTAACTACTTGAGCAGGTTCACCTCATGAATAGCAAATGAGACAGACTAGTCCTATCGACTCCAATTGCCTCTCCAGACACTTCTCAAGCAGCGCCAATTTCATCTGGATGAGTTCTCACTTAAATCCCTTAAACCCCATGTTCTAGAAAGCCATTGGAACTGTCCCTTTAGAGTCAGAGGAGGAGATGGAGCATGAAGTAAACTGCTTGCTACAGTGTGAAGCACCCTGCTCCCCAAGTGTTTATTATTAGCAGTGAAGTGTGGACAGCTATTTTGGTCAAGCTGTGACTTTTTTTGATTTGTGTGTGTGCAGAACATCTGTTTCTTGATGAAACACTCATCTACAGGATTCAAGAAGTTTGGAAAGAGTCAAGATGTTTCATCTAAAATGTGGCTCCCTGTATTTTGGCAGCTTGTTTTAAGTGGTAGTTTACAAGGAACATTTGGGCCTGTAGAAGTATGAGACCTAAATAGATTG